AAGATCTTGGCTGATATGTTTTTCTCAATGGTGTGAACATAAAATGTACTCGTTTTGCTTTACAGGATGAGCCTGTAAACAAATGCACAAATGCGGTTTTCACAGGACATTGCAACAAAACGTTATTAAAGTGCCATTATCCCATGAAAAACCAGGTAAGAAACAATAGTAACTCATTCACAGAATTTTCCCATGAAAGACTTTTTGCTGTTTCTTGACTGGTTATTCCCTGGTTCTTCATGGGATAATGGCGCTTGTGTTAATGTCATGTTAAGCAATTTTTTTAAATTCAATCGTGCAATTTCATGGGTTTATCATTGTTTAAACTCCCAATTTCCCCCATGTGATAAACTCCCACGATGGTAACAACCGCATCTGCAAATGCTGCAGGTCTAAAGACAAAGGGAGAAGGGAAAAATCCATAAGCGTTAAGTCAGTCTTATAAAGAGACTAAGTGAAAGAGACAGTTGCCTTGTAATATCCAGCTGTTTCTTCTAAATATTTCCAAAGAGCCCACATATGTACAGTTTCAGAAATATACCAGAAGGGAATATCAATACTTATGCTTGAAAGAAAGAAAGAAAAATCCCCTCAGATTACCTCGTTCTTTGTCTTTTTTCTTCCTCTCCTTCTTCTTCTTCCACACCTCATTCTACTGAAATCTGTCAGGATTGGACAGGTGTTATTTCAACGCCGTCCTAAATAGCTTCCCTACTGCTTTGCTGGACTGATCCATTTTCACCCTTCCTTACTTTTCTGGAGTCCAACACAGATGTAAAAGAGATTAAAGCTGTATACGGAGAGAAGGAGAGGAAGAAAGGGAAGAAACACGTAAGATTTTGCAGAGCTATTCTACCATAAAACTTAGGGATGGGGTTTGGGGACAGAAAACTCCACAAGAGACTGTAACAAAGCGACAAGGGTTTTGACTAATAGCTTCAAAGGATGACAGCTCAGCAAGTTTTGGTGTGTCAATGTGTGTTGTTTTTATTTAACATCTGTGAGATGCAAACTTCTCAAGTCTATCAAGAAGGCAAAATATATGTGTTGTCAAGAAGAAGCACTGGCTTGTTTGTTGAAGCTTCCTTTCCTTTCTTTGACCACTTTAAGAAAGAACCTTGCCAGAACTTCTTAACTTTCTAAAGGAAAAAAAAAAAGAAATGTATAAGGAGAAGAAGGTAAAAACCAGGTAACATTTTGTTGATAAAGAGCTAGACATCCCTGGGTGGAATTAACATTACTCATTATTCTGTTTACAAGAAAAAGGTGAGGCATTGAGACCCATGTCTGCAGTGCTGATTGAGCCACTCTTTCAAATTCAATATCTATGCTGGATCAGATCAATCTCAAATCAGTGTGGACCAGAGGTAAGGAACATATGACCTTCCAGATGTTGTTGGATTACATTTCTCATCATCCCTCACCATTGACTGTGCTGCTGGGCCATAATGAAAGATGCAGCCCAACCACCTCTGGAGGACTACATGTTCTATAGGTCTGTTTTAGACCACACTGGATCAGACGGAACAGTGATTTCCAAACTTTAGTCCTCCAGATGTTTTGGATTTCAGCTTCCAGAATTTTTGACTGTTGACCAAACTGTCTGGAGCTTCTGAGGAGTGAAGTCCAAAATACTTGGATGATCAAAGTATGGGAATCCCTGAGATGAAACAATGGTCTGTCTTAGTGAGGCAGGAACAGACATGCTCCAGAGGCCAGAAGGCCTTGCTACTCCATCTCGGTCCCCTTTGGAGACCTGAAGAACCCACATGAGCCTGCCTGTGATTTGAGATCTCCTGGGGAGGTCCTTCTCTCTGTCCCACCACCCTCACATCTGGTGGGAATATTAAGAGGGCCTTCTGGTGGCTGCTCTCAAATCTTTATCTAGAGAGGTTAGATTGACATTCTCTTTCAATCTTTTTGTAGAGTGCTGAAGACCTTTTTGTTTGAGCAAGACTTTTCAAGACTGTTTGCTTGTGAGAAAAGGCCTTACAGAACATGCTGCACTCTTAAATTGCTGTTCTCTTTTTAATGCCCATGCTTTTAACTGCATTAAATTCTATTGTTACTTCAATTATATTTTTAAACATATCTACACTGTGATTTTTTAAAAAAAAAAAAAGTGGTGTCTTTTTAACTTTCATAAGCCACCTTAAATCCAAGACTGCAGGGAAAAAGCAGGTTGTTGTGTGCCTTCAAGTCATTTCTGACTTCTGGAGATCTTAAGGCAAACCTGTCACAAGGGATGTGTCATTGCCTTCATTTGAGTCATAGAATGTGACTTCCCCAAGGTCACTTAGTGGATTTCTGCGGTTGAGAAGGAATTTGAACCCTGATCTCCCAGAGTCCTAATCCAACACTCAGACTACCACACCGCACTGTCACAAAAAGCTAGGATATAAATATAACCACAACATATAAATATAACAACAACCCAGATGGTGCCTGGGACTTTGGGAGGGAGGTTCCAAAGGATTACACTTGATTCCACCTAACGGCCACATGTGGCTCACAGACTACACATTTCCCACCCCAGCTGTAAGGCAACTTCCCATATGCTTATGTGGCACATTTTCATGGCAGTATTTATTACTGTAAATTGCTTAGAATGGATGTAAAGAGACTCTTAGAAATGCCTGTTGGAGCAGGCTGGGTACAAAGAACAGCATAACTGGATGTCCCAGTGTGAAATTAAAAAGCAGACATTGGGTACGGACATTTTAAATTAAAGAAATTTGAGCCCGGAGCAGATGTAGAAACACACCCTTTTGAAAAACAGGTTGTGGGAGTTCTACACTCTCCAGGATATGGAGCTGTTCAGGTTATTTCTGTTTTCACCTGTATCTCAATTACAGCAAATTAGCACACTGTTATTAGGATGTGACGTATCCACTTAGAAGAGGCCTTCCATGAAATAACAATTACAGATTACACCCTTCCAGTTTCTAGGGGTGGGAGGGAACATTGTAAAATCCCAATATTTGTTTATTTAAGACTAATTCTATCTGGCCTGTCTGCCTACAAAAAGAGAAAAGAGAACCCTATCTTGAAAAACATTCAAGGTGGTTAACAGGAGTCAAAGTCAAACAACCATGAAAGCCAATAAAAATAACTTTCCATGCCATGGTTTTGGGTTGTTGTTTTTCAAATTCTTTTTTAAAAAAAATTGTTTTGCTTGTTTCAGATTCTGTGATGTGGCTGCTGTTTTAATGGCTGACTTGGTGAAAGCAATTTTTATTCGCCTGAAGTCTTATGATGAACTGGTTGGATTAACAACATAAGTGAAGTGAACAGGAGATGCTAGCATTTGAACCTGAGAACTTCTGCATGTAACCTACCGCTGAGCGAAAGTCTATCCTGGAGTCCAGATGGTTGTGAGAACAAGCTCAGATTCTTTTCCAGGTCCACATATCATTATATCCCACAACACATCCTTGCCAACATAGTTGACAGGAACTCAAAGGGAAAGGTTTACAATAGAGGACAGCTCTACTTAAACAGGATATTAATACCCTCTACTTAAGGAAATAATATTTTCATTCAATTCGCCTTTTATTAGCACCTTAGCACTGCGGGGAGAGGAAAGCATGAGAGTATAATTCCAGGGGTTCATAAGGCTCTCTAAAATATGAATTACACTCAATCCAAGCAAAAAAATTAAAATAAATGCAACATTTTCCAGCTGTTCCACAACCAGGCACAGCTCACTCTCTCATGCTACTCAGCTGGTTTCTGAAATGTGGAATATTAACAGATTGGTGACTAGTTAGCATATGCAAAGAACCTTCAGATATTAGCAGCTTCTTAAGCGCACAGCGAAAATGTTTTATTTCCTTATTCTGATTTGATCCTTCTTCCACATGATGGGCACAAAGATTTGTTCGCTCTCTCTTTTTGCTGCAAAGCAGAGACTTAAGTACTTCATTCCCATTAGCATTAACAGGAATTACCTGTGTAAATCCCTCATATACTGAATGGGGCAAAAATCAGACTCCTTCACACACGCTCTCTTTTCCACCAAGGAACAGTGTTAATACAATTGAGCTGCTTTAATAGTAACAACTTATTGATAAGTTCTTTTAAAGTTCTTCCTGTAAATCTTCTCTAGTCTGCAAAGGGACTTTTTCAAAGTTGTGCACTCAGTGATCCCATATAGGAGCCTTCTGAGCTTAATTCCAGAGGAGTATGCATGATGTTAGCATTCAAACCCTGAAATAATAAGGAATATCTTTGTAATGATTTTGCACTTTCCCTATGGCAAGGTGCATGATTTTTCCAAATGATCAAACCACATGAAAAATACCAGGACAGGAAGAACATTGTTTGGATATCAAGAAGCAAAACACCCATGATAACTAGTGCTATAGGTCCTGCCAAATCTCAAGGTTCCTAGACAGTCTGCAGGAACCCAGAGATGATCTATAGTCAGTTGACTTGGAATTGTGCTATTGACTCATGAATTGCACTGGGTTGTAGGAATAGCACTTTGCTATGTCAGTAGCCCCAAACCTTTAGCATTTCTTCAGGATGAGGGGCACAAGGACTTCAGTGGTCCCAATTCAGTCCACTGGAGTTCTCTAGAAGATGTGTTTCCTCTCAATGACACTATCATTTGATGTTTTCCCTATTTTTGGACAGGTTTGCCCCCCTCCCTTTCTGAAAACTTGTTGTCTCTTTTCCTAAGTCTTAGTTGCCAACAGTAAGAGCTTGGGGATAAAATAAAATGGTATTTTGGGGGGGGGGGTTTCCACCCCTTTTACCTTTCAGTCTGCCCATCATTAGAATGAGGCCTCCGACAATCTCTCTGAAACTGAATTCAAACCCTGAGACTGAATAAGGCTGCCAACTTTCAGTTAGACATTCAAATTGCCGAGCAGAGGGGCGGGTTATAAATAATTTATTATTATTATTATTATATAGGGCAAAATGATCTGGCTGGAATCCTGTTACTGACATATGCTGGCATAATCACGGATCATGGTATGGTATCTAATTTGAGAGGAAGCATAGTGTAATAGTTTGGACGTTGGACTAGGACTCCAGGAGATCAGGGTTCAAATCCCTGCTCAGTCATGAAAAACCACTGGATGACTTTGGGCAATTCACACTCTCTCAGCCTCAGAGGAAGCTAGTGACAAACCTCCTCAGAAGAAATCTTGCCAAGAAAACCTTAGGATATGTTGGAGTCAGTTTGAAGGCATCGAACAATACCAACAAGTCATGTAATTTGGGGGTCTTGCAAAAAGTGGGATTAGTAGCTCCTTGCACAATAGCCCTTTGCACAGAAGGTACTTTGTGATATTGGAACATTTCCCCCCACCCACCCGGATATGTAATGTCTAGGAGAAAGTTTGGGGCAAAATGTATAGGGATGGACCTCCCTTTCAAATAAAATGTAAGAATCCAATCGATATTACATTCTTTTTGCATGTCTGGATCTGCTCATTTCATTGAAGCAAAACATCTGTCTGAGTAGGTGGGTGGTTTGTGTGCATGTGTTTGTTTGTGCGTTTCTATACATTGCAACAATGTGGGCAGCAATTTAAATCCAAAAAGAGGAACGAGGATGGAATAAACTGCAGTTACTTCAATCCAACATATTTTTATATTTAAAAAAATGTGAAGAACTGGAAGGAGAGAACATGATTACAAACATTTGTGGAAATCTAATGTCATAGAGCTCAAATGGTATATAAATACAAACATTTGTGAATGTCCAGTGTTCTGGAGCTCAACAGCGTATATCAATCTTCTGTTTTATGTGTGTTTTACATCATTTTTATTTTTTGGAACCAATATAAATCACTCTGCTGCATGGCAAAACCACACTTCACTGACAGTACACATGTAAAACTCCAGTTAGTGGTTGATGTGAAAATGAGAACATGCTGTTGGCATAGCCTCAGAATGCCAGCCTTGTTAACCATAACAACTGGCTTGCTATTACAGACACTCTACTCTTCCCTCAAATTTCTTGTTTTGTTTTTATGTTTTGAAGCCTGATGTCCCGTAGCCAAATTCCTCTGCAGCCAGGCATTGCTCCTTGAGAACCAGATATTAATAACATTGTGTTCCATCATTATAAAGAAATTGTATTGTAGGCCAGTGGACATGTTGCTTGCCTTTCTATCGTAAACCCCTGTTTTGCCATTTATGGCCCTGGTTTTAAGGAAAAAATTCCAGATGAATGTTTTTACGTGTGTTATGATCTTAAGGTGAAACTTGGGATTCGGTTGTGTTCTCTCTCCTTTTTTGTTCTTTCTCAACTTCACATGTTGTTTCAATAATTCTGTTTTTACAGACATACTTCCAAGCGCCACAGTATCAATAATTACAGAGGTTACACCCAACTGCTTATCCAATACCAAGCATCTTTAAGATGTGAGACCCAGTTGGTTTTCCCCTCAAAGGATCCAGAAATCAATCATGTTGACTTAAGGGCCAACTCAACAGTCATCTTAAGATATCAGATCTGGAGCCAGATTTCTTCTTTTCTACTCTGTTGAGACCCAAGTTGCTAGGCTGTGTACTGGATGTTGTGTTTCTGTATATCTTTTCCTCGTTTTATGCAACTGCTTTTATTATTGTCATGAGCAACCGCTGGACAGACTTAGAGAAGGGCACAAGATTTAGGCTATATCTGCTGCTGAGTTAACTAAGTGCAAACTACTTTTTCACTTTGAACTCAGTTTGCAGCAACTGCAGTAAGCTGAGGGCAAAAGGGG